CTCTCCATCATGTACGTACATATAGGGAAAACAGGGATCCGTCGATCGTGGTGGTGCACTCACTCTACTGGTGCATCTAACTGGCGGTGGGCAGGTATAACTCCGAATACACATATCCTCACCGAAGCCACGCATGAAAACCAGAGTGGATTACATATATATGGAGTAGTTTGTTTATATATGTGTGAGGGCTGAAACCAGCCTTGTATGACTGGCCCCCTCCCCAAGGCCCCAAAACTCCCATGAGGCCGATGATGGCGATGTCGCCTCGCAACTCTGGCCCCATGTCTGGTCGGTGTGTCATTTGTTTTGTCATACAGCAAACACCCTCTTGACTTGAAGAACCTCGGGTCATGGCCTCGTGGGTATGGCATGGCATGGCATGGCAACCCTGGACCGCTACATCCACACCCACGCACACCCTCTCTCCCTCCCTCCCCCTCTTAAAGCCTTGTCCCCTGCTTTATATCATGTAATAACGGCGAAACTGGGGATAGGAGGGGCTGCTCTGGAATCGGGCTGAATTTTGCAAAACAAGAGGACCCGTTCAGGGCTGAGACCAGATGTTCTTGCATAAGTTCCTTCGTTCGGACTTGGTCTTCGAGAGGGCGTACATGTCCGGATACACTCACACACATATGTACGGAGAGGCGTTACCGTGGACCCGAGTACGATGGGCCATACTCATGCTACGTTACGCCCTTGTCCGCATTGAGATTATTTCTTAGCTGAGTAGAATTATCATGACACGGACGGATCAAAGAGCCTGTCTATATATACATATTTCTTACATACGAAAAACTGACCTCGCTCCCTGGTCTCTTGAAGCCTCCTTGCATTGAATGACGTGCGTGACCCAAGCTATGCCATTTAGCATGTAGCCTCTCTCGGCTTGGTGACAAATACTAATGCTACCGTCCCTAGTTCCCGTGGACGTCAGTTTTACATAAGTAGTAAACGCATGTTTCATTCACTTTCACTAGCGCATATTCATACATAGTGTATTATAGCTCGTTGTCCTAACTAGTTACGGAGTACTCGATATCCAGAATATTCTAGAATCTGGCTCGGAGGACCTTGTCTTTGGAAGGGGTGGTTCACCTTACACGGATATCAAATGTTAACATCGCATCGGGCAGCAAAGAAAAAGGGGTAAAACAGTTAGGATACTGCCAGGGAACGAAGTTGAACCTGATTAAACCTATTTGATAGGTGGTTGATATCTTAGCCAGGCGCTGTGAAATTCCTTCTCCCGCTATCGCAAGGTAGACCTCCTTTCATCTGTAGTGAGGGAATTGAAACACCTTTCCTGGGATGGCGGGTAGCTACAGGCAATCTCGCATTCTCTTACTTCACGTGGCAGGGCATATCTCCCCTTTATGGTCCGCTAGAGGTCACCATGTGGTTCAGGTTCACCACCTTGAACTTGCTATTTCTTAACTAGGGTAACGAAGTTTTGAGACACCACAGCTTTGACGTTTTGGTCTGAAGGTCTTCCAAGACATAAAACTGCTCCTGAGAATCCTTCTACGTCATCGTCGTCCGAGGTAGTTCTCCATAGCAGAGATGCGCTGATGGCTGTAGACTCCCAGGCGTACTGGGAGCCTTCGACTATGGCTTGCTGAGTGGGTTTGGTGGCTACTTTCCCTGTTATTTAAGTCGTTTCGCCTTTGATCGTGTCAGATGTAGTTACAAATAGAGGTTTACCGTCGAGTGCATTATTGTAGTCTGTCCCATCCAGTGACAGTGCCAACACCTGGAGCGCTGGGAACATGCGGTAGGTCAGAGTCCGTGAACGGGGATAGGTCGTGTTTATACCCAGGAGATACGGACTTGGATTATTGTACGTCATGGTAATCTATATTAGCATAATATCTATAAAATTTTGGCTAAAATCACTCATACCCTAGAAGATTCACCTGCGGGATACACACTCTAACGTATAGAGCAGAAAACGCGGATATACTGCCGCCATGTTCTATCTCACCGGGTACTACTGGCGCGTTCCTAGTTGAGATGAACTTCAATAGCGTGTCCTTTGCCTGCAAGATCCAACTTGGAAACCCTTCTAATTGGCCATGGCAGGAGCCCCGGTAAATTAACGAAGCCATGTGTGACCTAGGTGCCGTCAGGTTTATCTTCAAACCAAGCCGCCAGCGAGAATCGCAGGAATCAGGCAACCACGATATGTCATGATTAGATGGTACTGTGAGTGTGGATGGCTCCAAATGCAGGATATCGAACCCAACACGCAGACCTCCGACGTGGGCTGGGTACCTGGTATCCCACGAGTTTAACATTTCTGAAAAGAAAAAAGGCACATCCATGGATTAAAATACTTATTCCAACACACCTCGGGAAGAACTGTCGGATAATAGATAGGTCGTCAGGTGTTAGCATCCGCCGCGTATTTATCAGCCATCTGATGGGGATAATTCTTGGTGTTGGGGTGAGTGAGTGGGTTAGGAAAATGCATTGCTGGAGTAAGATGAATTTCTCTCCCTGCAGCATGTGTGTGTATGGTATTGGAATACCCGAGGCTCTAATATTCCAAAAAGAATATCCCCCCATCTTACCTCTACCACAAATACATGTTATAGCTTGATAATGCCGGGTGATATGCCGAATAAGTTGTTCATTTTCCGGGGTTACTCGAGGCTCCAAGGTAGCTCTTACAGCCGCTACTTACTCTCCACGTAACGTCTCCTATGGTTAGCCGTGAGGAATGATGGGTGTGCCGTCGGGCTCGGGTGGCCGGTTCGATTCCAAATCTTGTGCTTTCTCAGGGATGTCTGGATATTGGAGGAATGGGCCTGGTGGACCCTCGTTGTGACGTCTTCTGGCCATGCGATCTCTGTGCTGCGTCATCGTGGAAAGCTGTTCTACCCTGCGTCTGTCGGCCAATGGAAGATGTCTTTTTAGTGGGTTTGGCTTCGCTTAGCTCGTTTAACTGGCTAAGTAGTTAGTTATGTAAGTCATTACTTGCAATTATATCACATGATATACCTGTAATCAATCAGGTGGTTCGTCCACACCCCTATCAAAAACATCAACCGAGTCAACCCTATATTCTAATTACAGTCCCTGTTACATTCGTCAGAAGCGTTCCAGCTACATCAAACGTTCTTGAAACCCTTTAATTCTAACAGATCGTTCCATCCAACAACATTCGTCTATCCGTACGTCCTTATGTTCTTCCTTCTCACGGTCACATTTTGTATCCTTCGGGCATTCATATGTTACCACAGCGTTCCTGCGTACCGTACGGTGTACTTACATAATATATGTCAGTCCCCTGTATTTCCCCCTCGCTTATCGTCTCACTTTGCCATGTTGAAGGGATCTGAAACGCCCCGTGCCGATTAAAGTTCTACCTGCCCGTTTCTGCGCGGTTTGGACGGGAGATTGCCATAGCATGGGTAGCCCTTTTAGTTAGCCACTAAGATCACCAGTTCGTTTGAAATATATGTCAGACGTTCTTCATCACTAACAAATACTACTTCACAAAAGAAATACGAGTATACGAGCACCCCCTGGGTATAGAAGCATTAGTTGAGATGGTAAAACCCTTCAGCCTTTCTGGAAGACTTCTTCATGCAGCTCGGCTTACTGGATAAGGTTGGCGGTGCAAACTGCCTCTCCTCCTTTTGTTCCTTCGTCATTCCTCCCAACCTTCTCCTCTCCCGTCCCTGTCGGACACCCTGCTATGTGCGGTGAAGGATGGAGGAGTTCGTTGATCGTTGAAGGTACGACGAAGGCGTAACCTGTTTAGGGATAATACGGAGTACATGCAGCGTACTATGTATACTATGATACGAATGTCTGGGCTTGCCTAGCCCCGTTGCAACACTGGTCGGTTGTACTATGTATGGCTCGTATACTCAAGGGATGTGTGACGATGTAATTTATTCATGACGGAAATGCCTCGTTTGCAGTATGTACATATTTCCGTTGAAACTGGGGCAGCCAGGCTCAGTCAAGATGAATACGCCTCACATCCGGCCGGGCGTATTTATAGAATTATGCAGCATAAAGCTTGACGGATAGATCGAGTTGAAACTCCACGTGCGGCTCATATTGAAATATGGCCGTGCATCCATAACCATCCGTGGGAGCCCGTGCTCGAGATCTATCCGTCCATCATCGGTAGGCGGGATATGGGGATGCATATCGGCTAAGGTTGGGAGGTCCTTTTTGCTGTCGAGAATACTCCATCGGTTGGACGGTTATAACACTGAAACACAACGTGGGCTATTGGATGAAATAGTAGAACCCTTTCTCTTCAAAGGTCTGCCTGGGGTTGGGTGTGGACTGAGGGCTAGAAGTGATAAGCATGGCGAGTTGGCAACGAATGGAAGCTAATTCCGTTCACGGGAGGAGTAATATGGAATTTTTCATATATCCATGGCTCCTGTTAGCTACAGCAGAACTTGAACAGGCAAGCTCATATGGCCTTACATGCATACGTGTGATGGACATATGTATTGGCCCAGTTGATACGATATGAAAGGTTCTTCTTAACCGACCACATCTCTGGCATTAGCCACCCATTCAAAATAAGGTTGGATACGTTATCCTAGGCATTTGAATTCCCAACAGTACGGAGCCAATGGAGCTATCCTCTCCGTTCTTCCCAGTAGCTAAAGACACATGAAGCTAATAGAGAAATAGATGGGAGGCCATAAGTCAACTTATTTGTAATCATTGTCAGTATATATAGGTTCTCTTCGCTGCCTGGCCATACCTAGGTGTACTTTGTATACGCTAGTTGGCTGGGAAACACCAGGGATAAATACTAGCCATGATGAATTGTAATATCAATGTGGTTCATGAACTGGTATATTAAATGGGCGTCAGCTGATACCCTTGGATACCATTAACTCCATGGTTTGGGAGTATTTCTGCATGAAAGAAATATAAATGTATAACAGCCGGGTTGATAAACAGGTAGCTCCGATCTATGTGGGTATCCATTGCTGAGCTATTGTTGATAAAATATCTCTGGTGCACGTCAGCTATCTGGAGAGCGTCGATAGAGAGAGCCGAGACAACCTCTGGAGAAATACTCGGACTTGAATAGCGCGGGTGCCTGAACTGTGGTTGTTGGTTCAGGAAGGCCGAACTTCTTTGGGTCCACTTCGAACCAAAGAACTGGAAAACTCAAGGAACTCAACTTCAACGTCTCTCTACTCCTTCATTCCTATCATCTTCACCCTCTATGCCCGCTAAATCCTCCTTGCATTCCCCCGCTGGTGGACCTCTCCGGGGTGGTTTTCGGAGTCTGCCGTGTTGTTTTGCATTGCCGCGCCTCGATCTTCAGCGCCACATTCATGGAATGTGCAGAATAGCGGGTATATGAGGAGACATAAGATGTGAAGAGATGGAATTCTTGGACATGAAGGTTGCTTCTGACAAACTCACAGTACGTCGTAAGACGACTTTGTCATGCAGGTTGGGGGCTAAATTGCTGGCAGCATGCAGGGTGAGTCAATATCTCTGGGGATGAAGATCCTGCATTGAAAATGATGTCTCCTAGTTTTGTTAACCATAGCTTACGTTTCATTCTCTGTCTAGAAATCCTCCTAGTATCTGTTCGTTCAGGAGTATTACCTGTTGCCAACAGGCTATATTTTGACAGGAAATGCGGACGCTGCTGCGGCTCAAACTCCACCGCAGGGCCAGTTGTGTTTACAAGCGTCCGAGACCCGCCTAAGGTCCGTTGGGAAGGTATTTAAAGACATTGATATCGCGGCTAATGGCTAAAAATATACCACAAACTGGGTATCCAGGCATCCGTGGCGCAGTGACTCAGGGTTGATATTATATTAACGATGTATATGCGGTTTCAAGCAAAGATGGGTTTCCTTGCGGTATACTTCTCCCAATGATCTTAAGATGGTGGTAAATGGGCTGATATCGTTACCTTCTACGAAGGAGAGAAGCCTGTTGGCCCGTTGATGACGAAGGGCTGGTTTGACTGTGCAGTAATTAAAACTTGACCAATCATTTCGCAGCCTTCATGGGTTGGAGACAATAGAAAAGCTACGCCTTTTTGTACGACTCGGAGGTGTCTTAACTTGTTCATTGGCCTTCTTGGCCATTCAGGCACCAGACGTCTATCTTACATCCAGAGGTGTGCTAGGGCTGTTGCTCTCGTCAGAGACCATGAGGTCGCAGTAGCGAGTGAAGCCTTATCTCGGAACTGGCATCCAAGACATCAGGCGCTGCTAGCAACACGTCACGCACGAGGGGGGATGACGGGCTTAAATTCGAGAAAGAACATTAGTCGCCCTTCCTAACTTTTACGCGCTGTCTCTGAATGGCGTTATTCGCCTTGGGCAAGTCGCTTTTGAGAATCGATGCCCACACAACGCATGCGACGATGTGTGGAGCCGGCCATCACCTTCAACCGCAATGTGATTGGGTTGTTGCTGTGATGCGGGCTGCAGCGTGAGGAACTCTCTGCCATGCCTCGAGCCAATCCCGTCGCCGAAGAACCTTAGAGTGACGGACACTAACTGCGACCCTTGTATCTTGGCTCCTTTCATCACCTCTGGCCCCACGCTCCTTTCTCTCTCTCAAGTATTGAAGCCCTGACGAGGCGTCTCATGCCTGCAGACCATCAAGGGGAACAAGACGTTGTTTCTGGCTGCGCAGCGAGAATCCCCTTTTGAGATAGCACAAAGCCTGCTATTATGTGAATATCGTTGCTGGCACACTAGCTATTATTATAGTTGTTGTTAAGAGTAACACTTTCGCATTCGCATTTGCATGAAGCAGGTGCGGAATTTGACAGAGATCGACTCTGCTTGCTTTTTCCACCTCTCCCGCACGGTTACCTGCATTCTTATCCATCCAGCACTCTTATTTTACTATGTCAGAGAGAAAGCCTGATGATGCATATTATCTTACACAAGGGTTGCCTGTTTACGGCCAAGAACTTAACGGCCAACGAAGTACAACCCACTGACGATGAGCTGCGTTTACTGGTGAAGGGAGAGTTCATCCAAAGTTCTTCGAGAAGACCAGGTAGTTTCATAATTATGGCCTCCAATCTCAGGACTTTCCTCATTATGGTCAACATGCTCTCTTCCCTAATAATTGGTTCCTTGAAGCAGACCCATGCTGGCGCTTATTGGTGCCCACAGCGAGCTCTACCCTTGATTAACCAGCCACCCTCCTAAGCTCGAGAGAAAACTACTCGCCCCCAGCGACTAGGTCTTAGCCCCCGTCACCCCATTCGTGCCAGCCGTCTCCATTTAAGGTCAGGTCAACACAATACCAAGCACAAATAGGAGCTGCAGAGCCTAATCTCTTTGCCCAGTTGGACTCTCATCTATATTTACTCATTTCTTAAAGTTCTAGGGTCCTCGATGGTCTCTTTCTGGCAAGCGTTTCTTCCTTCCATTAACTAATCCTAAGGGTGTACTTTTCTCACTCCTCGTCTTCAATGACCTACGCTGCTGGCGAAAGTCTCTCCCTAAAGAGTCCCTCTATACTCTTTTCCCTGTCTCTTCTTGGAAGTTTGGCAGCATATTGAGCATCTAGCTTGTTAGATCTTCTCTTCCAGTGCATTCGTTACATTGACTTCTCGATTGATTCCAAGCGCCTACCTCTGCCCTGCGGCGCCTATTTCATTCTGCGACCTTCTTTCGATATTCCAATTTTATATTTAAGTAACGCATCGCAGCCTGTTCCATAACCGCTGCAAAAGGGTTAGCCGCTTTGCCTGTTAGTATTGTTCATGCAAGGTTAAGGCGCTGAAGGCGCCTACGGAGAACTCAGCCAGGTCGGTTCCAACCGCTATCTCTGCCAACTAATCTCTACCACTTACTTGCCTCTTCTATTGTCGTTGTTTCCATTTATATTCTCCTTGTCCCTCATTAGCGACTGACCTCGTGCGCAGATATCTGAATCAACACTTGCAACCGATCCTAGCTTGCAACGATGTCCTCCGAGCAATATGGAATGCGGATGTCGACATCCTCGGGCTCGCGCTCAGCCTCCGGCGCTTTGCTGGCGAGTCCTCCAATCGAGTTAAATAATGATCTTAGCCCTTGCGCCGCCACCGCATCATTGTTCCTCTTCGCACAAGGCCCGACTATTGTCGCTATACATCATGACAGCTTGGCTGTCGACCGGAAGTTTCACCGCCATCGGGATGATGTTCAGATAATAGCCGTCGACAATGTTAGTGAAAGGGGAGCAGGCCGCTTGGTGGTTAGTTATGACATTGGCCATACTGCAATAATATGGGACCTCTTTACTGGTCAAGAAATCACTCGATTTGCCTCTTTTGAGCCGATCCGCGTCGCTACTTGGTTACGAAATGGACATGTTGCCTTTGGTTAGTTGTGGTGCCGACTCTGAAAATATTGATGACAAGCTAATGCATTGCTATAGGAAACATCAAGGGTGAAATCATATTGTTTGAACCCTCAACTTCTGAACATATATCTGCCCGTACAATATTTGATCCAATCACTGCTCTAGCTCCAACAATAGATTGCAATACCTTTGCCATAGGGTATATTCCATATTGATTCTCGGGCTGTTTTCTTCATGCTAACTTTTCTTCCTTCGACTAGGTACCTTAACGGCTCGATTCTAATCGCTACTCTTCTGCCAACATTTACCATTCTGCACACTCTCACAACCATCAGGGGCCCGTCACCAGTTATATCACTTTCCTGGCATGCTTCCTCCACCAAACAAAAAACCGATATGTTAGCATCGCAAACTATTGATGGTGATTTGTTTGTTTGGAGCGTGGCCAAACAGCCATCTACAGAGTCACCTCGCGTCATAAGAGCTTTGAAGAAATCAGAATCAAATAATTCCAGCCCTAAGTGGCTAGCTTGGTCAAAGAATGGCCGTATAATTCAACACAACGATGGGTTGGTTGCTCTTGTTACCTCTTATAACTGCTCCACTACTTACTTACTTTGAATATAGAGAGAGTCTGGCATGGGACGTTAGAACCAAAAATGTTTCATATGAAACCATTCCAACCATCCAAGGGGTCCAAGGCATTGCAAATTATGGACCAACGGCCACGCTTTTTACTTTGGGCCCGAATCATACTGTCCAGCAATATGATGTAGCCAATGCAACAATGGTTGCGAATGCCCAGCACCTTCCACAGAAGCCTGATGTACCTGTAGAGCAGCCTCCAACTGGAGAAACTGCACTCACAATTGAAACTTTGGCAAAACACACGGCGTCTGAACAAAAGCACAAAACACGACCTTCACAAGGGTCTTTACCAGGCGTCGAATCAAAGCTTGATTTAGTTCGTGCTGAGGCTTCAAAGAGCCCAGGGTCTGGATATAGCATGCCTATTTCTAATGGCTCCAGGCCTCGCAACCGGACGCCATACGCTCCACGCCCCCCTGGATCCAATTATAGCGGGTCAGCAACCACATTCTCCTTAGGGTCTCCCAGGCCATCTATTGCGGAAACTCTTCACTCAGGCTACTCGGCACGGTATGCAATGTCATTAAACTCAACAGAGTCTACTATGTCCAAGCTGCGGACGGTCTCTATTCCCGGAATCTGGGATGATCCAGTTACCGACCTCTTCCCCTACATACGTGCTCGATTAAACAGCGTATCGATAAATCCTTCCCGCAGGTTCGATGACCCAAATCTTGGACCGGACGAACTACGAAGACAAATGTTAGCCGTTGTGTTCGGATGGGAAGGAAATATCGAAGATTTGGTACGGAGCGAATGTGAGAAGATCTTCGCAATGTTTGTCCTGCGGTCCACTGCTGACTTTACATACTAGTTAAACAACATACTTATGGCTCCCAGCATTCTGCCATACTAGCGAGATGGTTACTTCCATCTGATTCTGACATAATGGCGCCTATGGTTGAGGCATCGACCTCCTCATATGTCAACTGGATGATAATTGCTCTCAGCTTGTTGACGAAGAAAGAAGTGTCAAAAGAGCCCGGTCAGGCGCTTGCCAAAAAGCTTTTAGCTTCCAACGATCCCCACGCAGCTGCTGCGGTGCTAATGGGTATTGGAGAAGGAGATCTCGCCGTTGAGCTTTATGTGTCCAGAAATCAGTTCATGGAAGCCGTTCTACTAAGCTGCCTGTTGACACCAGCTGGATGGTCTAGGCAATCATATCTCATTCGGAAATGGGGAGAACATGCAGCTATCAACTCGCAGCAACACCTAGCATTGCGTTGTTTTTCTTGCACTGAAACTGCAGCCCCGGTAGCCTGGAAAAGCCCATCTATACAGGCTTCATTCTCCGGCCCATCCTCAGACAAGAATCAAGGAGTTTCCTTAAACGCTCCTCCTTTAACTAATCTCTCCCCAACCTCTCGTCTCAAGAATCAATCACTGAAGCTCATAACTTCATTTGGTTCAAATAGCAACTCCGCTTTTCAGTTCCCAGGCCTTGCCTCTGCTGACAGGACCCCTACCAACATGCCTGGGGTTACACCAATTGATGCTGGGTTGGGAGATCAGATGTTCTCCCCTGGAGGGTTCGGTAATAGTCTTCGTCCAGGCGGTCATCGAGCCCAGGGTGCAACTCCGGTCTCTCGATCGCACCCTGCGGGCTTCGGGAGGGAACGGCTCCCCTCTATTGGAGAATCACCGAACGACCCTACTCCGACGGTATCAGCTCCAAAGGGCCGCCTACCCGCTGGTGATCAAATGTCTGAACCTGATAAGGATCTCAAAGTTATTGATGTGCCTCTAGCACCACCCCCGGCCGCAAATCTTAACCCAACAAGTACTACAGATACTCTAGAATATTTAACCCCGGCGCGGTACACGCCCCTGAATGAGTCAATGAAGGAGAAAGAAACGCCTATGACAGCCTTACCTCCTGACAGGACTCTAAGCTCTTCTTCTGGCCGGGAAAACAAGCTAGAGGCTGCACTGGGACAGAAAGAGCGTGGTACGAATGGTTCACAATCCCGTAAACCCGACGGACTGCAGATTCAGTGGCCCCCTGCCGATGACCAATCCTCCGAAGATCAACCATCGGAAGACATATACTACCAACAACCGTTGTCAACTCGCCGAAATGGCGAGAGAAATGATAGTGTGATGAGTCCGACCGCTTCTACCAGGAGTGCAAGATCCGGCGCAAGTGTACCATTAAGTGCGAAAAGCCTAGATAAGTACATAAGCAGCCTTGACGGAGCTAGCTACCAATCCCACAGACAAAAAACGCATAAGAAGTCCGGCTCAAGGGCAAGTTCGAAAGACCCTCATGGGCGTGGGAGAAGCAAACAGAGATATATACAACCTGCTAAGAGGTCACCATCATCGCCCATCCCCATGTCACCAGAAGATATTGCTCTCTACTCGTCCTCCTCCAGAGATTATATTGGCGTCCGGCCGTCGTCACGTAACGGGAGGAAAAGCAGCAGGATGCGCAGCAACAGCCCTGGAGGTGGGAGCAGGGTATCCGGAAGAAGCACAAGCAGGCGCCGAGATTTCGATTATGGAATTAAATCGCCAACCTCGCCTATACCAATGTCTCCGGCTGAAGGCCACGACAGCAGCGGGGATCCTGACCGTAGGTTTAGACTGTTAAACGCCGAGAGAAAACAGCGGTACAAGTCAAGAGAAAGAAGTGCAAACCGTCGTCATGATCGTAGTAGGAGTGCACCTCGATATTCTTCGGCTGAGCAGAGGAATGGGGCTGAAAAGGATAGTGATACTAGTGGAGAAATGGCCAATCGTCTTGATCAAAGCTATCAGACTTATAATTCCCATGATGAGCCATTTCAACCACAGCAGCTTGGCCACAGCCAGGTTGACAATCAGCTAGATGAACATGGCAGGAAACGATCGGCTGCCGCAGAACTTGAAGCTCGCCGCCAATCCCTAGCTCGTCGCCCTTCCGCTCCTCCTATCCCCCTCCCTGGCGAGGCAAGCCTCAACCAAATTCTATCTGGCCGTCCTTCGCCTTCTCCCGGTCCTCAGAGCCATGCTAGATCTAACAGCTCTTTTAGTCAAAGGGCAATGTCCAAAAGTACTGGTCCTACCCCTTCTAGTCTTACAGAACGTGTTCCATTCACCATGCCAATTGGTCTCCCAGCGACCCCTAGGGCAATGAGACACCCAAAGTATAGCACTGGATATAATGACTCAGAGACACCCGATGTACCTGAAGTACCACCCCCGGATGCATTCTATAGTTATGATAGGCGACCATCCTTCAATATACCTCGGTCCATGTCTGCCCCAATTCCGGACGATGAGATGCCAACTCATCCTCATTTCCAGCGCCAGCTTCCGAGTAGCCGAACAAACCGAACACCAAACCACAGGCGTGAGACGTCGAATGAGGGCATGACGCTAGAGAATTCTCGAGTAGAGAACCTACGAGCCGAGCACACTCGGATCACCTCTGGGCCGTTGCCACCCCTTCTTCCGGAGCTTCAACATCTGCATGCTACTGCTACTCCTCCACCTCCTCCACCTCCTCCCGCACCTCCAGCGCGTCAGCCATTACCTCCGGCTGCTCCTATACACAGTGATGCCCCGGTGCAAGACGAAGGGCGGAATTCGTTTATTTCGGGTGTTGGAACGATTAACATTGCTATTGACGATTCTCACAGCCCTGCACTTTTTGGTCCATCCAACCCAAACCCCAATTTCCGTGCAGCATCGCTGCCGGCACACCAGCAATCATTGCATCAATTAGAAGGGGGTATGAGAGCGTCTGCGGACCCTCATAAACGTGGCCGAAGTGTAAATGACAATGTGCAATTCAAATTCCGCAATCTTACTGATCGCATGAGAAGCTCAAGTCGGCCTCGAAATGGGCGTTCCCCTGCTTCAGATCGTCAAGATGTATGCTCTCCATATGAGAGCCTGGCAACTAACGGCACAATTGAAAACAGAATCTAGCCCGATTGCGTCTAGTTTAGTTCCTGCGATTATTGAGTTGGTGAAATAGGCTTGAGTCTGGGTGTTTGATTAGAAAATGATACCCGTTTTCTATTCGTTTTCTGCTGTTTCCATTCCTGAATTATTATTTTGATGATTAGTTTCACGACTTGATCATGTGTTTAATGTTCAGCGATGTTTTCTGGATAATCCCAATTCCCATTTCTGTTAGCAGTGTTTATTATTTTTGTTATGCTATGTCCTATCTCAGCTTCAATTCTTACTACTACCATTATTACTAAATGTTCCCGCCTTTGCTTGAGTAGAATAGAATGTATATACTCCGTACATGTGCGCGAGTATAACTAAGCAATTTAGATCCATTGAGGTTTAGCTCTGTGTATGATGTATCCTGTTTCTCCGTTGGCGTACTGTACGCTTCAGAAACAGAGACGGAGATGCTAAATGTTTCGTTAATTCTGCCTGTTATACAAATAAAACTTAAATACAAATATATGCAATGATTTTTGGGGTCCTAAATATACGGTATGTAAGGACAGATATAACTCGACTTCGTTATTCTGCAGCTCACAGGCCCTTTAAGAATAAAAGCAATCGTTTCAAATTGGTCCGAACCCGAAAGAGAACCGAGCGCTGCAGCGAGAACTAGAATCTATCTAGGTCCGGGGGCACTTGAACACCCACAGGGACGGAACTGACTGCCCCTAATTCTAACGCCTCTGCCACGTAGAGTTGTTATAGTTGCCGCTGTTTGCTGATGAATCGCCCATAGACTGTTGACGAATACGTGCCCAGGCACTCCCAGAGGGCGATTCGGGGGATGAGGTTGGAGAACCGGATGCGAAATCTGAATTTACAGGGCTGGCGTCATCATCCCAGAAACTCTTCCCATCTGTGCTAGAAGAAGAACTACTTGGAGCTGAAGGGTATGCCTGCTGCTGTTGTCGATCCTCCGGGTAATAGTTTGCACTGGAATATGAGGCTAAGTAATCTGGACTCTCTCCTTGTGACCGGTAGGTTTCTTTCAAAACCTTTGAATCTGGCAGGCTATATCCGGCTGGTGAGTCGGTGCCATCGGTAGCTTGGTATCCAGGCCGTTGGGGCTGGGTGGCAGGAGGCGCATTACCGAACCGGCGATGCGCTGCGGCTAATCTTTCTGCTTGATACCGCTTCAGACGAGCTTCGATCTCCTGACGGTCTGCATGTGAGAGTTCATCTCTAAGCCGGGCAAACCTGGGATCCGTAACTGCACTAGCTCTAGTGTACGCTTCTCCGATAACTTCACCAATGCCAGTGCCTATAATTGCAAATATTGGGAGTATAAATGACGCCCTTATGAATCTGCCCTTCATTTCACCAGGGTTAAGCTTGAAGAGTGGACGGTTTGGGGTAAACTGCTGGCTGGCAGCTTTGTTAGCTGCGGCCTCTGCTGTTGCATTCTTTGATTTTGCAATCATTGACCCAACAGCAAGCCCTATTATTCCACCATAGTGGGGCATATTCTGCATAAATGATGCTTGCGAAACCAACGCATCTGTCTCTTCTTGGGTCGGAAACCGATTAACAACGACTCGGGTAATCTCTAGGCGATCCTGTATTAGGCGACTGATGCTTCGTTGGTAGTTACTTTCTGTCCAATAAAATATCCGTTTGGAGAGGGTGAACGGCGGTATCTCAACTCGCATAGGGTATCTGGCAAACTGAGAAGGCCGGCCATCCTCTAAATATTCTGGGTTCGAGAAGTATGAATCGCTATCCGAAGGTGGCGCGTCGTCCGTGAAACTCGATTGCTGCGAGTCAATCCCCATTTTCTCCGTTCCACACCCTTTCTTAACGGGGCTTGACCGGGCTTTTGGACTAGAGAAGCTGTCGATTTCCTAGAAACTCCAGATATTTGCTCGTAAGCAAGCGTAAGAAGAACAAAACGCTGGACGTTGGAAGTTTCCAAGTTTGTTCGGTGTTTAGTTTGACTTGTTTGCACCAACTAACCATGATTAGTCATATATGACGTAATGTTTACACGTGACGTTACTATTTACCTCCAACGTCACGCGTCGATTTTAATCTCATCCAAGGCCGAAATTTGACCCAACGAGAGAGCAGCGGCTTGTCCGCCTCGCGCGCCTAGTTCGCTATCAAGAGGCTTCCGAATGGCCGTGATAAATGATGGGAACCTAAGAGGAGAAATGTGATATCCTTTTGCTCCAGGGGTCCGCATGACATCGTCTACCGAGAGGTCCCTAGGCTAAGATTCCTTTGCCTGCTTCTGTTGTGCAAGGTGGCTATTATTTTGTGCTTCCGTACGGTAACTAATGAACTAGCACTTGATAGGATGATTCTATTACTGTCTATTATTCCCAGAGAATGTACGGGATGGCAAGGCTTGTTGCTCCTTGAGCCGGATAGCTGCAAACCCCGTGCTGTTCTTGGCCAACTCCAAGAGCTGGACTGTGGTATGGGGGCTCTCCATACGAGATAGCTATTTAATACCAAACCGCTGATGTAACGCGGATATGTGTTCCTGCCAGCTGACAATGCGCAGCCAGTAAAGATGCAGATACATTGTAACTAGCAGGGCCAATGGATATCTAGGTGTAGCCATCTTCTCCCCCGCTTGAGGTCCCAAAGTTGGGCTTAATAAGTTTGATTATTTATACATCCGGCTGTCCCTGCAGGATGCTTAAGCTCCTCTTTATTTCTCTCTGTTGTGAGTACGAAATACTAAAGACGTATGTACAGCCTCACCTGTGGCTAGTATATAAGGAGAGACGCTACCGGACCATCAATCGAACTCTATCGAACTAGATATACGGTGGATATGAAGGGCAAACTTGTCTTCCTTGCAACCTGTCTTGGGTTTTCTGCCATTCATGGGAGAATTATTCCAGAGGAAAATGCGTGTAGGAAAACGAAAGTTGCAATTCTGTAGGTGTTCTTGGTATTCGGTATATCTTTGTTTTTGCCAGTCTGAAATCTAACCAAAATATATAGTGGTGCGGGAGTTACTGGCATCACCGCAGCTGTATGATCCCTTTGACTGCCTCTCTACATACTATAACTATGATCCAAACGGACTGAGGATGTCTGAATATATATTAGCAAACACTTGCAAACCAATCTATGACTGATTTCCTCATCATTGAATACCAAGATAGAATTGGTGGACGTCTACATGAAGTCAATTTTGGGAGGAAGAAAGATGGATCACCATATGTAGTTGAAGCTGGCGCAAACTGGGTACCGCTTTGTTTATATATGCACCCCTTAACTTCAAAGCCAAGATGATTTATAGCTAACAATAATTACAAACTAGGTCGAAGGGTTAGGCGGCTCTGGCAAACCAGAGAATCCGATCTACACACTGGTAATGAGAGCCGAACCTAACAATCACAAATACCCTGTGCATGAGACACTAGCTAATATGAAATTAAGGCCAAAAAATATGATATACGTGCTCTGTAAGTCCACTCAAGTACGGAATATAGCTGTCGTTGCTTACCAACCTTTGCAGGAAAACAGACTATGAAAACAAAACGACTTACGATAAGACCGGCAAGAAAGACTTTTCAAGTGTAATAGCAAATGCAGCGGCCGCTATGCAGAAAGTAGTTGTTCAAGCCGGATCGTTGCTAAAGGAGAATGTTCAAGACAAAACTCTTCGAGCAGCTCTTCGCTTTGTGGATTGGAACCCAGCTCCAAACAATGCACATGCACAATTTGCGGATTGGTTTAGTAGCGATTTCGAATCTAGCTTCACCCCAGAGGAAAATTCCGCAATCTTCTCATCAGTTGCTGATAATGCCACTTTCTCTCACTTTTCAGATGATAACCTCTTCGTGTATGATCAACGAGGCTATAGTAGGTCTTCTCATCGCCTCCTGAATTACAGTTTTAAACAGGTTATCTGACTGCTTTCTCAATAGGTACCATTATTAGAGGCGAGGCAGCAACATTTTTGAGACCTAATGACCCCAGGCTACTTCTAAACACCGTCGTCACAGTCGTTAATTATACTCATGACGGTGTGACAGTTTTAACCAATGACGGCGCATGCATTGAAGCCGATTATGCTGTCTCGACCTTTTCACTTGGCGTATTACAGCGGGATGCGGTACAGTTCTACCCACCGTTTCCCAGCTGGAAGAAATCTGCCATTGCAAGCTTCGAGATAGGGACGTACACCAAGATATTCCTCCAGTTTGATAGAGCCTTTTGGCCAAACAGCCAGTATCTTATGTGGGCCGACCCTCATGAGAGGGGTTATTACCCACTCTTCCAGCCTCTTGACCTACCTGGTGTTCTGCCGGGCTCGGGAATACTCATGGGGACCGTGGTGAATAGACAAGCACGTAGGGTAGAATCCCAAACAAATCAAGAGACCCAAAAAGAGATCATGAAAGTGCTGCGAACAATGTATGGAAACGACATTCCTGATCCAATAGCTATTTACTATCCACGGTGGAACCAAGAACCCTGGTAGGTAACTATTTTAACGTTGAACTAGCAGACACCGTGTACTGACATCTATAGGTCCTATGGTTCTTATTCAAATTGGCCTCCATCCACTAGCTTGCAGGTGCATCAAAACCTCCGAGCAAACGTTGGAAGACTCTTTTTTGCTGGTGAAGCTACCAGCCAGGAATTTTACGGGTATTTGCACGGCGCTTATTACGAGGGACGCGCGGTAGGAGAAATGTTGGCGAGGTGTATCGAGGGACCAGCAAATTGTACGGATCAGAATGGTCAACCACGGTACCAAGTACTGACTGGGGTAACTCCTTTTGATCTATACAATGAGAAACATGGATGGTCTGTGGATACTACAAGCTGAAACTAGAGAAGTGGTGAATTTACAGGTATAATATCGTCCACCGAGGAAGGATATACTCATAAATTTGGTTCCAATGGATAGCTAGACTTCACAAAATTCCTGCTTCCACAAGCCATGGGGAGTACAGTTTAAGGCCTGTGTATGATCTGCAATTTACCATTTCTCTACACAGGGGCGTAGATCTATTTCATGGGTGAATGTTGTCCTTGGCTGGGAATGTAGGTGCCAGTATGTTTCAGCGATCTAGTCCATAGCATTAGCATAACTAATTATCAAAGGGATGAGGATGAGGCCAGGGAGGGAGTAGTTACTGACCGCCTCAGGGTCCAGCTTTGCATCGGGAAGCCCAGACTGTATGTGACTCGTCCGCTCAGTGTCAATGACTCCATCAACGACGGCATGACAGACATGAATGCCTTGAGGCCCGAATTCTCTAGCTACGGACTGTGCAACGGCCCGCAAAGAGAACTTTCCTGCGGCAAACGAGGAAAATTTTGCACTTCCCTTGAGACTTGCAGTTGCTCCTGGTAGTCGTAATTAGTATGGGTGGGGTGTATATCATGGTGCATACATGGTATCAGAATATCTGGCGGAAAGAAGAGAGAAGGGAATAGATACCAGTGAATATCAAGGTAGGTGGAAGTTCCAAGTCTGAAGCCCGTAGGAGTCGAGGGATTGCAGCCTGAGAGAAATTAAAACCTCCCAGCCTTTGAACGATCACAATGCCATCTATTAGCCAAAGGAATAAAAAACAGGATAAAGGATTAGAAGGAGTTATTGGGTACCCGGTAGTTTTGAAGCCCTGAGTGAAGTCATCTTCACTAAGCTCAAGGAATGGCTTCACGGTTAATCCACCGCCAACATTGTAAATGGCGGCTGCAAGCAAGCTGCCAGGAAACGCCTTGTCGATATCCGCAAATGCTTGTTTGACATCGCTGGCATTCGAGACATCTGCTCTGATGCCGATTGCTTGTCCGCCACTGCTGGTGATGTCCTCGATGACACCCTCGTAGTTCTTTGGATTGCGAGCCAGAAGAGCCACAGGATATGTCCGGGAGAAGCGGCGAGCTATGGAAGCGCCCTATATAAAGTGTCAATACATACATAAATAAGGGGGGGGGGGCTATATATCAGTAACATACTGTTCCAGGGCCGACTCCTGCGATGACAGCGATTGCTTTAGTTGCCATAACGTTGGTTATACTTTATTTGGCTGACCACCTGATGATGAAGGGATTTTTGACGTATTACTTGGTTAACTGGTTGATATCAATAGTTATGTGCATCCAGCGTACTTCATAACAAGTCAATGCTGCTGACCAGGCTTTATAAACTGCTTGAAAGCTGAAGTTTTATCGCCTTCGTAAAGTTACTTTGATCCTACGCCAATTGCAATGCTGGGTGGCAATTCTTTTGTAGTTATGAGGGATAAGGCAGTAGAGCAAGCATTTGTGATAACCGACTACATGACATTTAATATCAATCTAAGTATATGACTGACTAGTCCAGGCTAGATATGTTAAGCAAATGTGCATTTTGGTGAGCTAAAAGGTGCGAAGGACAACAGGACATGCTTGAAGTATAACGGTGGCCAGGATAATCAAAGGAAGATAACAGAGAGCATCAAGGACCCAATCAGGTATGATATCTGAATTGAGGGTTGCGGTCTCCCATCTCCTGGATCTCTTCGTGCGTCATGCCCTCGATCTTATAGTCTTCCTTGCCCGCCGCACGAGCTTTGTTAATACCCAAATAGTAAAACCACATGAAGGAGTAGATCAGGACTGAGAGGCCGGCCAGGGCCAGAGTCACGGCGTGGCCCATGATGTAGCGCGGTGCGGTATGCTCAGGATATAAGAATGGGGTGACGATGCCGGAGGTGTTTCCAAGGGTGAGCTGTAGACCTGTGGCGAATGCACGCTTGCCGAATCGTGGCAGGTTTGTTGGGAGCCATGCAGTAGGCAGACCGACGGCTACGTAGACGCCGCCGGCGATGAGGAAGCAGCCAAAGTAGTGTACGCCCGAGGAAGTATTAGAGATCAGTAAGCCGTAGCCTAAGATGGTAACGCAGGTGAAGGCGATGGCGAAGACTGCTCTCTTCTGGTATCGATCACTGAACCAGGCGACGATGAGATATGTGATTGCACCCAGGGCGTAGCATGGGATCGTCAATGCCTGTACCTGAGGCCCCGTCCAGTCTCCAAATGCCTTGATGATGGTTGGCAAGAAGGTGCTGTATCCGTATAGCACAGCATCAGTGCCAAACTGGCCGAGACAGAAGAGGTAGATGGTCCAATCCTTTGCACCCTCCTTTGCATCCTCGATATGGAACTGCTGGGCAGAGTCCGTCTGGCCGATCTCTCGCCTCCGTCGAGCCCTAACGAGCTCCTTGTCCTCCTCGGTGAGGTAGTAGGCCGTATCTGGGTCATCTGCAAGGCCAAACCAGGTAGCAATGCCGATCAAGAACGACGGAATGCCTTCGAGGATCATGATCCATCGCCATCCCTTAAGGCCGGCGGTACCGTCCAAAAATCCAATTGCATAGGCGAGAAGGCCGCCACATGCACCGGCCGCAGCAGACGCACTGAACAGGTAGCCCACCCGAAGAGCAATCTCCCTCTTCCCGTAGAAGAGCGTCATGTAGGCAATCAGGCCTGGGAACAGTCCAGCTTCAACGGCTCCCAGGATGAACCGGCAGACAACCATGCCGGCGAAATTCTGCGTGAGGCCGCTCAGAGTCGCCACAAGACCCCATATCGTCGTTATTGTCGAGATGTACCGCGAGGCAGTGAACCTCCGGATGACCAGATTGGATGGGACTTCGAGTAGCTACTTTCAAGTCAGATATGCCATATTATCAATGGGCATGGTCATCATATCGGCAAACTCACGCAGTATGGGATAAACAGGATAGAAACAGCAATCTGATACTGGTTTCCGGTCAGGCCCAGGTCCTCCTCCAGAGAGTAAAGCCGAGCATTTCCGATATTCACTATTCCAACATTGGTTATTTAATGGTATTCTCTTAACAGCGATCTAGAGAAGACAAACCTCGATCCAGGAAGCTGAAGAGATACAGGCCAACGAGAAATGGGACGATGTGCTTGTCAATCTTCGCTATCAACGCCCGCTCTCTCTTCTCATCGATGACAACAGGCTGCTGAGGCCCATCCTTTGTCTCGAGCTCGATGTCTCTCGCCTCGAGATCTTTGATCGACATGCTGAAGCTGGCAAAGGTGTGTGCGTGTGTATCTTATATAGCTTGACTTGATATATTCCAGCCAACTGGCCACACGACAGGGATATTATGAGACGAGCTGGCGCTGTCAAAATATATATATCTCCGCCTCTCTCTCTCTCGCTCTCTCTGCCTACCTGCCTGTCTCTCTCTGTCTCGTCACTTAAGAGGATGAAGAATAAAGGAAAAGGAGAACTCCCTGCATCACTCCGCACACATACAGAGAGAGAGAGATGAGGAGAAGATGAAAGCTGCTTTCCCGGAGCATGTCCGGCCAGAAGAAACTTCCCTCGTCTCCGCCTCCACTCCATCTCCTCTCCTTCGTGCGGTTTACTGGATTTCTGGGCCGGCAAAGAGGAATGGAGAAGAGGAGGACCCGGTGCTAGACATCGACATCCAACCAGAGAAATAGATTTTTCCTTAGTCGGTGGCCAAACGACGGGCTTGGATGACAGGAACAGCTTGTTTTCCCGCCGCTGGAGAAGCTAGATCTATAATTATTCCGGCGCCCACCCGTCTTCTTTGCGTGCTTCTAGAAGGCGGTTTGAATCTTGGTTAACTCAGTGTTCTTCCCCGGATTTCGATAACTAGTTTACAGTGGGAAACTGGGGAGGGGAGAGGAGCTGGGAGCTTGGGAGACGCCTCGCTCTCGCTCTCTTGTCTGGAGCTTTTATCATGGCGAGCTCATCTGGATTTTGTCCATCGGAGTTACTACGGATGAGTTCGCCTATCGCCCCCCCCTCGAGGACGGGAGAATATATCCGCGAAGTCGCCATTTACATAACGTTCGCTAGCTCTGCTTTAGCCAGGGAGTAGGCATAACGGAGGAGGAATAGCTTGAATTCCAGGGGGAAACACGGAATCTTCATCGGCGAAGGAGACGGCTTTCGGGCGTGTGTATAACTAGGCCTTGGGACCTTGCTATCACTTATCACATCTTTCCAGCTAGGCCCCCTACATATATATGTATACATGCTTCCACGGCTCCTCCGAACTAGATCGGGCATGTCCCCGGAGAACTGAAACAAGCCTTCTGACTCTTTAATATATGCCCCCATAGGACGGGGTCATGGACATCCGGCGGCTATTCGATACAACTACACTAGCTGCTTCAAAAAGGATGTGTTTACTCAGCTCAGCCGGAGAGTGTGTAATGTCATCATTTCCCGGGACAGGGCTGTTTCTTGTCCTTTGCTGATCTGCCTTCCACATCTTCCGAGGAATACCAAGTCGGATATGACAGGATGTCTAGAGAGAGAGGAATCTAGACGGCCGTTTGTTTTAGTATCCTGCAGTCAGCTTCCCTGTGGCAAAATCAAGGAGAAGAAAAAACAAGTCATGCCATCGTCATCCCCTATAGAGCTGAGCGAGTACTCGAAAGGTCTGGGCACCGAAGCACGGAACACACAGCTTCCGAAAAGACACCTGAAGCCTTCCATGTCAAACAGCAAGGGTCGACAGGCGGATAGGATGGTTGCATCCGCCGGAAGGAGGGAGTCAAGGAAGCGAGTCAAGGAGTCAAGGAAGATTCTGCTGGTGGAAGAATTTCGTGCATGATGCGTCATAGGCGAGCCCTACAGCCGACCATGCAGTAACACAATATATAAATACGGTAGTACGGAGTATATATATATATGCACGCACAATATACACTTAAATATGTATATGCAGGAGGCTAACTCGAGGCTGCAGGTTGAATCCTGCGGGCTTGTTTGTGTAGTTATCGCTTAACGATCAAGCCACAATCGGATCTACTGAGCATATCAGACGTAGCCATCTAACACGACCTGCCGAGAGGATCTCTCGCCAAAATTTAGCGAGCTGACAGGACAGGGACGAAAGAGAGAGAGATCTTTCTCCAGAAGGCCAGAGGAGGTCGGAGGCGAGGATGGTGGTGTATGTACGGCCTGAAAAATTTGATTGCATGTTATATATAAAAAAAAAAAAATGTCTAACCATCCCTTCGGGCGAACTGGCTTTTTGGGTGAGAAAAGGAAAAAAAATTCGGACTTCCAGAAATCGATCCTATATCTTAGCCCGACGGGATAATGGCTGGCATTATATGTGTGTTAAAAAAAAAAAAAGGCCTGTAAAAGCTATTGATCCAGCGATGTGGTAATGGCAAAGCGATCCTCCCCGGAAGGGAGCTGCCGTGGTCAGACAAGAAAAAAAGACCCTTGAAGCGGCGAATATCAAGGGCTCTCCATAGGGGATCATCGAGATTTGTGTTATATATACCGCAGAAGGATTGAGAATATGTATATATGACTCAACATGCCAGAAAAGGCGCATACCACCCTGCATCCCCGGACGAGACAGGGCCATCCTTGCCATCCGAGAGAGAGTATCAAAAGGGAAAGACATGGACGAGGGGGCTTGACGATTGACTTTGCAAAGATCGCCAAACCCTGGACTCTTGGGCGAGCAAGGGCCCAGAAATACCGGTACATCTGAGGTAGATCTATGTATATATATACGCATGAGTATAGGATGTTGGTGTTGGGCGAGGGGGGTCCCCCCTGCTGAAGATGTTTCAACCTGCAATTTTACCTTGCGGGAAGAGAGACGGGTTGGTCTTGTCCATGGAGATCCAGGACTCTGGTCGTGGTGCAGCCCCGTCCGGCGTATCTGGCAAGGCTTGTTTCCACACCAGAGTGTTGTTGGCGGGTTAAGGCTCTCCCTTTGCCGGCTACTATATGTAACTGTCGTTCTGGTATCTCCTTTTTCTGGTAGCAGTCGGACCAACTGTTATGGACAGCAGACCGACCTACGTACGCCACAGATCAGCAAGACTGAAGAAGTGAAGCTCGATGCAAGCAGGAGAGAAGGAGAAGAAGAAGAAAAGAAAAGAGCAAGGAAGAGAGGACTGGGACGGTAACAACAGCTCGCGTTGCTTTGAGCTGACGGCAAGGTAACGCTTTTGGGTAGCGAGGACAGGGTGTTCGCCTACTGTATATACTGGTGGGCATCCTTGAAAGAATTAAAAAAAAAAAAGAGAGGCATTGAAGCTTCCCTGTCCCTGTCTTGATATCCTTGATGATACACAAAATGTGTATACATGGCATGTATGTATATGCGGTGTGCAGACGAGAATTAAAAAAAAAATGCCACAAAAAGCTACAAACAACATCCACGAAGAATAAAAAAGTGATAAAAGGTAAAAATTGCCGGAAGCTTGTTGATTCATGATCCATGGCCAGAGATATGCATAGATGGGCTTGTCGTATAGTCTGTTGCTGTTGGAGGAGGATGTGGATGGTATGGCGGAGAGAGACATCGAGAAAGAACATATCGAGACGATGAGATCTCTGGGGATGGATGACCTCGTATCCCACACGTGGAGAGAGGCTTTGGATCGACTCTTTTCATCGTCTCTACATTATCATACTCTATAACATGCAACAGATAACTATGCCTGCGCAGATCACGCATTTCGCACGACCAGCCAGCATGAACAACAGCCAGAACGGCGATCGACGCAGTTGTCTGGTTGTCTCAGGGAGCAGAGCAGGCCAGGCTGGATCGGAATCCATGGTTGAGCGCTGATGAGCTGTCTGATCCACTAGCTAAGTGGATGAAGTTCATCCTGCAAGAACATGCATCATATGTGAACTGCTATAGTATGTAGTGGTTAATATATCGGGTGCTATAGATGGTCCTGGCGTCTTAGTTGGATCGCTATTAATCTGATATCTAATTAATGTCTTGCTGGATAGAAGTTATACCGCCGGGGTGCAGGCATCAGTGCATACAGATAATATATCGCTCCGAGTCCCAAGAGTTGGATCCATGTTCGGTCTAGGTAGTGTAGATTGGACTGGATGGAGATAAATCTCCGTGGGCGGTCTGATTAATTCCCCGAAACATGACATGGAAGGTATTACAATTTGTTTATATTTTGTCTAAAGGGCTTGTTATATACAAGGGACGAAGGGAAGGTGGGCTACGAGGAGGGTAGGGGGTGGAGGTAGAGGTAGAGATTCGAGGGTAGGTTGATGATAGTAAATATAGATTAAGATGAAAAAATAGCTTGAACCAGACGATAACAGAAGTGGTATCTCAAATCAGTCAAGAAAGGAAAGCGGACAAGCGACCAAGGCCAGACATACGATTGAGAAAGAGACAGCAAAAGGAGCGCGGCAAGACGGTTTATAAGGAAACAGAAAGGAAAAAAAAAGAAAACAGCAGACAGGTGTAAAAAGAAAAGCAAGTGAAAAAGGAGCATTTGGTATCCGAACCCAAACAAGTCCAGCCTGCCTGAACCCAGAACCAGAAGCAGAAACGACAGTGAGAAGAAGACGCCAGACAAAAAGATTCTTTTTGAAGGGCAGTGGAAGAATATCCTCGCGAGCGCCGGAAACCGTGTAAGCGAAACCGTGTAAGCGGGGTCGAGTTGTGGTAGATGGATTAATGGCGAGTGTGTTTTGGTGTGTTTCCCGTGGTATAGAAAGGAAAAAGGAGGTTTGGTTGTATTGATCAAGAGAGACCTTTTTGTGCCTGTGAAGGCGAGGAAATGTATCTTTATAGCCATGCAGAATCGAAGTACGCACGCAAATAACGCATCCAGAGGTAGAAGCGATGTGTTGATGTTTTCTTGACCTCTCTCGAGAGGGAGGTTCGTTTTTGTAGTTGATTTTTTCTCTTTTTTTCTTTCGTTTTCGGTTTTCTTTGTAGAAGAAAAAGTCCGATCCGCGTCCATGTAAATGCATCCATGCAAATGCCGTCCGAACGCAAAGCAACCCAGTAATCAAAGTGGTATCTCAGTATAAGGAAATCCAGGAAGACGAGGCGGTGATATAAGTAGAGAAAAAAAAAAAAGGAGGATCATTTGGAGACCTCGCGGAGGAGCTCGCCGCAGTTGGCGTCGAAGCGCATGTTCCAGAGACGGACGCTGTTCATGAGCTTCTCTGTGTTCTCGAGCTCCCGGTCGCGGCCAAAGATGGAGTCGACGAACTCGCAGCCGGCGTTGCGGCCCATGGTGATGGTGGTCGGGGAGCCACCGCGGGCGGCGTGTTCTCGCTTGGCGGCCTTCCACATGAAGTGCTCGCAGGCCTTGAGCAGACGCTTGAACCTGGACCAGAGGCGCTCGCCGGACTCGACAAAGTCTTCGACCATCTCGCGGGCCTCGGTGGAGCGGATGAGGGGGGCGCACTCGTCTGCGCGTTTGACCTTGCCGGCGAGCTTGATGAGGAGGAGCCAGAGGTCGCCGGCGACGTCGGCCATGGGAGCGGTGGCGCCGTGGTGGAAGGCGGTCCAGTCGTAGATCCACTTGCCGAGGGAGTTTGCATCGAAGACGCTGCCGAGGAGCAGGATGGGGGCCTCCTTGGGGTTCCAGTTCTTGATGCTGTAGCCCGGGGGGATGTTGTGGTGGATGGCGTCTGCCTCGGTGGCCCTGGGCGGCGACTTGGGCGGGGGAGGCTGGGCGTGGGCGGGCTTGGAGGTGCTGTGGCTGTGGTGGTGTCCGTGGTGGTGTCCGTGGCCGTGCGGGTGCGCCGCGTGCGTCGGGCGGGTGAAGGTGGAAGCACGGCGGGCGCGCGAGCGCTTGGGGGTCTCTAGCAGGGGGTCGTCGAAGGCGGCTGCAGAGGAGCTTGTCTGGGGACAGTGGTAGTGGTTAGTGGAGGCGCGTCTGCAG